CTATGCGTACTTTATACAGTCGTTGTGCCTGTTTTCGTTCTGAGGGCAGAAATGTAAAACCAGGTCACCACTAATTTTAAATGAATGACCCAAAAATGTTACGGCCCGTGTAACATAGCAGACATAATGTATATGGCCCGAAGGAAAAAAAGTTCGAGCATTTTTGACACAAGGTAGTTGAGCACTATATTCGGTGATTATCATTATAAGCTGTCTACGCAAGAGGCCTGCAGCTGTATGAGACGCTATTATAGCTAAGTCATTAACCCGTCTGTCTTTTAGTTCTTAAACTCATGAAGTCTTATAACAGTTGTTGCAAAGATGTTAGCAGACTGCAAGCAGTCATTCATTACGATTAACTACACGCAGTTATCTAAAGTCGGATCCGAGAGCATGCACAAACTTTCGTAGAGTATATATGACTTTTCATAATGCATAACTAAAACTATCAATCCAGCACTTATCCATCATACTACTGTACATTCAGTTTAGTGCTGGATGTAGACCTCTCCTAAGTCTCACAAACGATAATTATAATTATTTTTTGGGAAATTGCAATAAATAAATCTATTATTTAATTTCAAACATAAACACTAAATGTTATGTTACTTCATTAGTTTATTTATAATATATTGCACTGGAAACAACAATTTACAAAAATTATGGAAAATATGCAGACACTGGTGTCGCTCGGTATGTTGAACCTCGGGCAGATTTCTTCTCTCTGTAATCGACTTTAGGCAGGTCAATATTTTTATTTTCTTTTCCGTTTTGGCTTTGGGTTTCTGAAGTCTTACTTTTGGTAGCATCTGCAATATAAATTAATAATAATAATAATAACGCACACATTCAACATAGCCCCGCACTAGGGAAACCCTGAGTCACGGGTGCCATGGACACACACATAGACAGCCACAAGTTACACCAACACTCACGAGATAAATAAATGTAGGCCAAATAAACATTTCCCCCGAACCTGGGACCGAAGCGTGGCAGTCCGGCATGGTAACCGTTCGGCCACAGAGGTAGTCTTAGCAATTGATGTTTGATGAACGGTAAGTATTAACAACGTAAGGTTAAATTTTCAACAAAGTATTTAACAGAGAGAAATCCGTTATACCATGGACCAATACTCAAGAGGATTGCTAATCGCCATCAGCATCGCAGCGTCTTATATCTAGATGGCCAGGGCCATCTATCGATCAGGATCGATAGCATGGAAGTAGTTTAAATTATATAAATGGCTGTGGATATCAACTAATTCTTCTTTAATATGAAATACAAGTAATTAGTCAGTGCACTATAAGTTTCCGAAATTGGCCATTTACATAAACAATATTTAAAAAGTAATTAGAACCGTGTTTCATCTGACTGTCACTTGTTTTTACATTGTGGCGTCATTTTAGATATTTGTTGTCTACATCACCATGGCTTTAACTCGTGAAAATTTTCGTAGTATGATTTTCTACGACTTTAAGCGTAACTGAACGGCTCAGCGGAGCTTCGCTCGGCTTCAAACTCCTTTTGGCGATGAAGCATCATGCAAGACGACTATTTGTAGCTGATTTGCAGAATTCAAACGCGGTCGTGTGAATCTCAGTGACGAACTTCGTGATGGTCGCCCGTCCACTGTTGTGAACAACAAAAACATCGATGCTGTGCGCTGTATGATCAAAACAGACAGGCATGTGTCATACCATGAGAATCGGGCATTTTTAGGCATAGGCATGAGTCAAATACAATCAATTCTACACAAACATTTGGGTGTGAAAAAGCTGTGCTTTCGGTGGATCCCATACAATTTGACTGAGGCTTAAAAAACGGGTCGCGTCACTTGGTGCAATGCCATGCTTATCAGATTCAACGAAGGGGCGTCAAATTTGGTGTGGGACATAGTAACAGGTGACGAAACATGGATTTATATTTACGATCCCAAAACAAAGCCGCAATCGAGCGTATGGGTCTTTCGAGATGAGCCGAAACCAACCAAAGTGGCGCGCGTGCAAAGTGCCTCTAAGCGGATGATTGCTTCTTTTTTTAATAAAACTGGACACGTGGCTACTGTGGCTTTGGAGAATCGTTGTACCGTGAATAGTGATTGGTACGCGACCATTTGTTTGCCGGAAGTTATTGACAAACTTCGTAAAAATAACCGTAAACGCCGTATCTTGCACCACGATAATGCCAGTTCTCACACGGCAAGACAGACAAATGAATTTTTGAAGGTGAACAACGTTGACCTTATGAGCCATCCCGCGTACAGTCCCGACCTGGCACCTTGTGACTTTTATTTATTTCTAAAAATTAGGAACCAGTTACGCGGTCAACGATTTTCATCACCTGAAGAGGCTGCCGAAGAGTATGAAAAATATGTTTCAGAGATTGTCACGGAGGAGTGGCATAAATGTTTACAAAATTGGTTCATTCGTATGAAAAAGTGCATTAACGCCAACGGAGAATATTTTAAGAAACAATAAATTCATTTCTGACCATTTATAGTATTTTTTCTTATTCATTCCATAAAGATATAGCGCGCCTCACGCATAGCCTTGATGGGTTGTGGCTTGTCAATGTAAAACAAAATCTAGTGCCAAAAACCAATACGTACTGAATACCCGACTACGCTGTCCTGTATCGCGATTAGCAGTCCTCTCGAGTTATTTGTCCCTGGTTATATATAAACTATTTAGAAGCGGATATACGGTGGAGAAATGTGTTATACAAATATGTATGTATGAAAGAGACTCCGCGGTTGATCACCTAGCCGATGGAGTGACCAAGTGACTGCCCTCACTGGCCTTCCTAAAACAACTGCCATGAGAGAGGCCGAAGACAGAACCAGATGGAAGAAAATCGTCCATAATGTCTCCATAACCTTTCGGGGACACGACCTTCAGCAATGAAGATAACGACTAAGAAGATGCATATGTATCACAGGATAGGTATCCTTATTAGGTAATAGTGCTATTAACTGCATGTAACATAATGATCTATCCGCACGTCGTGGGTCGTTTGTTATCAACAGACAAAAAAATAATCACAACTGTCTTTCTTTTCTGTTTTCTTTACAGTTCTAGACATTTGCGGGCACAAAATTTTACAAATAAATACTTTTCCCGTAGACTTAACATGGTGACCTTTGACCTCAATAATCTCAGGGTGATAAGTGAAAAATCAAAATTTGGGCTTGGACATGACCTGCAAAATTTTATTTTTAATACTAGTTTTAAATTTCATGCACATTAGTTGAGGAACGACCGAATATTTTTCTTCAGATAACATATCATAGTCACGGAAGAAAGCATTTATGTGGTCTGTGATCACAGTGAACACTATAAAAGTTTCGCTCGTTCGGATCGCTGCGCTTCAAGCATAGAGTCAATAGTACAAACCTTTACTTTTAATTTTGTTGTCATCAATTGCTGGTTGTAGGTATTTAGGGTCAAGTCCCATTTTCGTCTTTTTTTCTTGAGATTGTGGTTGAGGACTATCCTCTATATTTGACCTGTGAATAAAAAAACTATATTTACTCATATTATTATTAAATTGTTATGCACATGCATATAGTAAAGGTGGAGAATTCAGATTTGGATCCTGATTTGAAGAGAAAAAGCAGAATTTTTGGGAACAATTGACATCGAGCTTAATGGCTACCGCCATTATTTCAGTGGCCAGAAGTAAATTGTTAGTCATTAAATAATTGCTTACAACTTAGAGGTGGCGTAAAAGTTGATAGAATCATCAGATGAATTAACCATATTACTCCTACAAGGTAGAAAATAAGGTGTAGAACTGCTTGTGGTAGGGTTATCGGTTGAACTTTTACTGCGTAAAGCGTCTGTCGGTGCCGAATTGGTTTCCAATTTCTTGTGTAGCCATTGGATTACTGAAAACAGATACAATGTGATAGTATACTTCAGAAAACTCTTGCCTCCTACATTGGAGGAGCTGGGAGGGCTTATGCCATTGAGCCTTTTTGAACCATGTGCTGTTCAGTTTACAAATGATTATTAAAATTAAACTGTATGTCAGAACAACTTCACAATTGATGATATGTTAAGTTCCCAAGCTGCGTTGGGCCAACGTGGTGGATTATTATTTATTTAAACACTTTATTGTAGCACAAAGTAACTTACAAATTTTCAGAAACAAGTTAAATATTTGTGTACAAAGGCGAGCTTATCCCATAAAGAGATTTCTTCCAAATAACCTTTGAAAATCTGAGAGGAACGTTGGTTTTTGGGGTAGCACTAAAAATAGATAAGTAAAGAAATAGAATATACTATACTCAATAAATACACAGATAAATTTATTATATCAAATGTACATACGAATACATTATATTAAGTAATGTTGATACATTAATACATACAAAGTCTATAATAAAATGAATGCATAAAATAAAACTATAAATAAATATATAAAATGTAAATAAATATTTCATAAGCTCTAACATGTGGAGTTTGAACAATCCCAAAACTTCAAAAGAGCACCCTTGAAAACCCGAACCGAAGGCGATTGTGACCTCGACCGGGAGAAGGTTCCACATACGGGCTGCATTTACTGTGAATTAATCCGAATATTTTTGGGAACTGTGTTGTGGAAGGACGAGGGATAAATTGGTGCCAGAACGCAGGCGGTCACCCATAGCCTGACGCTATTGAAAGCACTCACGTAGATAGCTAGGTGAAGTGGGATGGAACAGGATTTTATAGAGGAAGATTAAAATGTGAGCATTTCTACGTAAACGAATAGGCAACAACTTCAACTCATCTCTAAACTTGGAAATGTGGTCGTACTTTTTCAATCCAAACATAAATCTGATATATTGATTTTGCAGCCGCTCCAATTTATTAAGAAGGTCCTCCGAATGCCCAAATTTTTACCTGAAGTGGAAAAAGGAATAATGGTGTTATATATAGTATAGAGATGGAAAGAAGACGTGTGTGATGATGTAATTCCACCAATAAAGACTGAGAAAAGTATAGGAAATAAAACCCCACCCTGCGGATTGCCAGCCGTAAGGCTACACCAGTCCGAGTGCATGTCACCGGTCTTTACGAGTTGGGAACGACCAACTAATACGAACGAAACCAGGATTCGGCTAAGGGAGGTAGATTTAAAGTTCTGATCACAGCAAGAAGCAAATTAAAATCAACAGTACTGAATGCACTGCTGAAATCTAATAAAGTGAGGACAGTAACTTTTTTATTTTCTATATTCAGACGAATGTCGTCAGTGATTTATCACCAGAGCAGAAACCGTGCTATGGCCCACTCGAAAACCAGACTGCAGATGGTTGAAAATATCGTAACGTCGGAGGTGGTTAGTGAGTCGCTTATGGATATAGTGCTCAAGAATTTTGGAGAATATAGGAAGTATGGAGGTAATGGGAGAAAGAAGAAGGATTTGATTTTTTAGAGAGAGGAATTACATGGGCTTGTTTCCATTCAGTAGGAAACACACCTCATCTGCCGTCGTAACCTTCTTAAAATCAAAAGAGTCTGAAGCAAGACAAAGTGCACTGGCCAGGACAGATAAAGTTCTAGATTTTATGATAGAATCTAAACATACTGGGGAAGATGCATACACATAGTAGTCGTTCAGCACGTTAAGATCGACATTAAAGGGAAAGACATAAGCAGCTTTACCCATACCCAGAGACTTCAAATATTTCCACATCTTAGTAGGCATTATGGTTGAATCCCACTAACGCGTGCTGTTGAGCAGGGCCGAAGTCTTAGGGCGCCTTCAAATTAGATTACTACTACTACTAATTTTCATACAACAATGTTTAGAAGCGCAGCTGCAGCGTCCTTGTCGTGACACGCACGCGCTACTTTTGCAGTCACAATTAGTGAACTAAGAATTGCTGAAACGCTAATTTGAAGGCGCCCTTAGAGTGCGATGGTAGTCAGAGTTAATATACAAGCATCTGAATTTTTTTTCTTAGATGTGTATGTAACATAATTATATTAAACTTCTCACCCATATTATTATTTTTTATAGTTTCATCACGATCTTTAAGCGCTTTGTCATTGATTTCGTATTTTTCTTTCAAATTTTCCAGCTCAGTCGTTAATTTATCCATGTTTTGTTTAGTGGCAGCCACTTCAGATTTGAGATCCTCTATTTCTTTTGTGTTTCGCTCTATCACTTTCTCTTGTTCCAGAGCAATTGCAGTTCTACATAAAAGCTGTAAACAATTCCTATCAATTTGAACCATTCTTTCATCACGCCAAAAAATTAGAGTTCTGTCAAGCTAGTGAATTCCTATACATAGATGTATATACCAGGATCTAATGATAAATGGGATAATTGAAAATTGAAGTTCGCACCACACACATGGTATAATTGGAATGGAACATACTTGATAGTCGCGCGTTTTTACGATTGTGACAAGTGACATAATAATATACTTTATCAGTCATCACAAGTAAATATCTATAAAAGTATTACGTTTCTTTGCATTACCACTTTTTGATATGCATATATACAATAAACTTTAAGCAAAAGCAAATCAGAGACGCCAAATTTAGATTGCCAAGTGAAATATTATTTTTCTATTTAGTGTCATGAAATTCTGGTAGATATTTAGGGGCTCACGAATTACTTTTTGGTCCCGGAAAGTAACATTAAGTTAATAACAATATCAAAAAATAAATTTAATGGTTACTTTATTTTTTGATATTGTTATTAAAAGATTTAGTTATTTTAAATAGTACATCTATTCTTTGTCCAAAAACTCTACGACCCAAGATATTGAGACCTTTTCTTTAACTTCAATGAGTTCAGTGTTCTGCTTTGATATGATCTGGTTCGCCTTCAGTAGCTGTTCAGATGTGGAATGAGCTGCGTCGTTGCTCTTCGCCACGAGAGATTCACTGAATGCCAAGCGCTCTTCCAAACTAGCCTGGCAGATATATAATTAAAACTGTGTTAGTTGTGTAAAATATGGTACGAGATAGCGGTAATATTTGCTTATACAAGAGTGACATGCAAGTTTCACTAATGAGTGACGGAAAAATACACTTCACAAGTTACTTACTTTTTCTTTTTTAGCTAATTGTAGAGAATTGTTTAAATCCTTTATAGTCTCAGAACTTTCTTTGACATTCTGTAAGAAAGAATTATGTTAAAATATTCTGTATCTTCAAATATACAATACAAAATATTGGAACAATCAGAAAGTTATAATTACCTACACTAAAACTAAAGTTTAAAATGTAAAATATAGAATCGAGTTTTACATAGAATATAGTGTGTAGGGCACGCACTGTACAAACTTTAAGGGGGTGTTTATCGTAATTTACATATGTGGATTACCGAAAACCCTCATGCAGTGAGACCATCCTCATTCCAGCATGAGTTTTCTGTCAACGTTTGGGCTGGTATTATTAATAACCAATTAGTTGGATCGGTGGAGTTGCCGGAAAGATTAAATGTCCCAAGATTTTTGGAATTTTTAAGGACAGAGTTTGTGGAATTACTCTCAGAATTGCCAATCGCACGTCTCCGAGGAATGTGGTTGCAGATGGATGAAGCCCCGGCTCATTTCGCCACAGCTGTGAGACAGCACTTGAATGAAAATTATCCACAGTGGATTGGAAGAGGCGGCACTGTTGCGTGGCCTCCGCGTAGTCCGGATTTAACTCCATTAGATTTTTTTTTTTGGGTTGGATGAAACAAAAAGTTTATTTTAACCCAGTGAATACGAGAGAGGAGCTATCGGCGCGCATTCGTGAAGCTGCTGAAGAAATTCGTGCAAATCCCGAAATTTTATATCGGGCCACGCAGCAGGTGGGAATTCGGACAACAGCTTGCCTTCTAAATAGGGGGGACATTTTGAACACCTTTTATAATTTATGTGTTTCTTTTTTTTTTGTAAAATAAATAATCTAATATTTTTTACTGTTTTTTATTTCAAATTAACTTACTACATCTCAACACAAAACAATTTACTAGAAAGACTGTAAAATTTACTTATTTCGCTCTCGGAGACGTTATGTTGCAGAAGCTGTAACTTTTAGAATTGTGGACATAGGATTATGATTTTTGTCGTGTTTTTAAGAACAGCTGAAATACTTTAAAATTCATACATAAAAACAGTACCTTAATTTGGTTATTTTAGGATTAAATTATAAAAACTTAGTTTTTTTGGCAGTTTTTTTGGTAAAAATTTACATTCATTATTTTTATTAGGCAATCCCTCACTTTTTTATGTACATGACAGATATTTTATTCAATTGCCGCTAATCTTAGCTTTCCGAAAAAATATTTTTTATGTTCATACTGCTTTTACTTATCATAATATGATAATTTTAGACCAAACGTTTAGCAAACTAAGTATAAAAAATCAAAATGGCTGCCATTCCTAGGGAGTTGAGTTTTGACCCCACATGTATTAGTGTTTTTCACATAATATTGAATACTAAACACCCCCTCAAAGTTTGTACAGTGCGTGCCCTAACACACTGTATAAATAAATATTACCATCTCCAACTGCGCGCATTTCTTGTTAGCTTGGCTGTAGAGTTTATCTTTCTCCATGATTTCTCTATCTAAAGTTGCATACTTTGCTTTCAAAGTTGCTACTTCTATATGTGACTTCTGAACTTCAGCTTCTAGTAAAATGAGACGTTGTGATTTTTCACTGAAATTTGTAAAATTTTTTATTAAACTTCAGTAAGTCATGGTATATTTGTGGTACTGTATTAGTGTATTTAAACAATGCACAAAAATTTTATAATAGATATCCATGCATTACATTCACACCACAAAACATACTATTTAAATCAAGTGGCTAAACTGACGACCACATTAAATCATTCCAAAGTAATAATGCGACATCGTCATATAAGCTGTAATTAAAATTATTCTAATTACCTTATCTGGTTCTCTAACTGCCCTATACTATCTCTCAGCTGTTTACACATAGTGTTCAACTCTTCAATATATTTGTCTTTTCTGCTTATTGTGTCTTGAGAGGTTGCCAACTGTGCCTTGGTGTTCATTTCAAAGTTCTTTTGCCATTGTAATCTTTCCTGTAACACCATTCTTGTCATTTTATTTTTTTCCAACATACTTTTACACGAATGATTTATTTATATGATTAAATTAAGGAATTGACTACTTAATAATAATAATAACGCACACACTCAACATAGCCCCGCACTAGGGAAACCCTGTGTCGCGGGTGCCATGGACACACACATAGACGACCACAAATTACACCCAAACTCACGAGAGAAATAAATGTAGGTCATACAAATATTTCTCCCGGCCCGGGAATCGAACCTGGGACCTCTGCGTGGCAGTCCGGCATGGTAACCGTTCGGCCACGGAGGCAGTTAAATAACATGTGTACCAAATCACATGGTCAAGCAACAATTTGAGATAGGCATAAACTAATGTAACTTCCGCAGAAGCAGATGCTGATATTTGCAACAACCCTGATATGTAATGATGGGCTGTTTTCCGCAACTCTACGTCACAGCGCTAATTTTGCGTGTAGTGGGGGCAGGGTCCCTATCGTGCCACTCACGCTCCTTCAAGAATTTTTGCATCTTTTTCTAAATAGCTATTATTCACATATTACATACCTGGGTCAACCTCTCTCTCTCCATCCTCAGAGCCTCCTGCATCTCGGCTTCCTTTCTCAGTTTGTCTTCCTCCATTTTACTAATGGCAAGCGTCAGGTCACATACCTTACGTTCCAAGTTTATGCATTTGTCATTCAATAATGCTTCAGTACTCGATGTTGTCGTTTTTAGGGATGCTAAGGATTTCTATAAAAATGGAAATGTGGAGTGATTTTGCCATAAAAGATTAATAAAAATGGTTTTCTATGTGTATAGTTTTCACTTTGATTATTAAAGGTTGGCAAGTTTAAATTGATTCTTCATTCAGAGTTCAGTGTGATCACTGAAATTTGAAAACTGACTAAAATTACCTAAGCGTAGTTAACAATGATGAAAAAGAACAAAAAATAGTGACAATAACTTTACATGAATATCAGTATAACAATTTTATTGTTCATAGGTAGGAGGTTATTCAATTGAAATCAACAACAAAAGGACACTACAGGTCTTTTTAAGATACTCAGAGATACCTTTAAATTAAGAATAGTTTCAGCCATGTGTTGTTTGATATCATCATCTGTGGCAGGTCCCGTTTTCAATGATAAATGCACAAGCCTCTTAAATTCATTATGTTCTACTATTTCTAAGTAATATTGCAGTGGATTTGATTGTTGCATTATTAAAAACCTGAAATTGAAGGTTTTGTTTATGTATGGTATTAGCACAGATAATACAATACTATAGGTATTACTATTATCTATGTATTTATACATGTATGTCACAAATTTTGTTTTGTCACAAAGTTGGATTGTGGAAAAACTTCCATATATACATAGATTCTATTTTTCTGAATATCTTTCCAATATCGACTCCGGAGAGCGATCTTGTCATATCTCGAAAAATAGGATGTTACACCAGGGCCGAAAAACTATTTAAAAAAATTATTTCTCTTTAATTTCAATTAGTAGAAAGTCAATTTTAAAGTATAATGTATATTGTATATATACTAAAAATGACTATTGATTATTGACTATACATTAAAATTGACTTTCTAATTACTAATTCAAATTAAAGAGAAATAATTTTTTGAAATAGTTTTTCGGCCGTGGTTTAATGTTCTATTTTTACGAGATACAACAAAATTGTTTTCCGGCGTCGATATGTTTCCTATATTTTTGCTTTTTTCTGAAAAAAGGTGGACATTTGAAACTTTTCAGACTTTTTGACATTTGACTACCCATTGTTGGCTGTGCGTATGCTGTTGTCCATGTGTTGTTTTACAGCAAATTTTTGAAACAATTGAAGATTTTTTTAGGTCACATAAAATTATTTGTGAATTTTGTGTTGCTGAAGATTCTTTATTGTCAATTCTAAGTTATATAGTTGAATTTTTAATTCTTCTCTAAGCCAATCATTTGCAATACAATGTAGGTCCAAAAAGTACCACATTCTATACAAATACTATTGTTTTAAATATATTACATACACTATGGAATATTTATGTTGTACTTTATACTAGGCAGCATAGCATAGGAATCAGTATATTCTACATTTATTACCAGTAACATTCAATCATATGTAATTTAAAAAGACAAAACTTCATCCTAACATTATAATGACCATTCAATTCATTCAATTTGTTTATTATTGCATCATATGTACATAGCTTCAAATTTTATATTAAGCATACATAGAAAATATACAGGATTCACACTGTGCAGGAAACAGCAACATAGGATTGAGGCAGGTTGACACTATAGAAATATATCATCTAAATATTGTTGTAGTGTTTATTAGCTTTTATTAATTAATATTTTGCTTTTCAAGTTCCAAATTTAAAAGTTGGAATAGAGTTCATGGTTTCAGTAGAACAAAATTTTAGAAAAAAAAGGCACTAAATACAAAACATTGAATTGTTGCCATAGATCTACAGCATTGAGTTCATTTAACCAATACGATAGCAAATTAGTGTTATATTTTACGTACTCAGACAATTAAATCTTACATATTGTTTGAAGCACATTGTTGCAGCAGTCTCACAAGTTGGGCGGGAAAATTATCGAAGTCGATCAGAAGCCCTTGTTGTTTTTTCAAATCTTCGTAGTCAAAACGCGTAAGTGTGAGCACACACAAGAACGTTGGATCATCATCGTCAGACAACAATATTTTCTGCAATTAAAACGCTCGTAGCTTTAGCACAAAACCATTAAAATTTACGATGTAAGTAAACAAACTTACTAACCAAACTATCAGTCTCAAAAACTTTGTCAATCGTTACAGTAATGTCTTTCTTGCAGTCCTCAAAACCTCTTTTAAAAGCGACGTAATATTTGCCTTTGTGAAATGTTTTGCAAGACATATTTTTTCATAGATATCGAAAATAATAAACGTTTTATATTTGAGCAAACAAAACAACTGCAGCAACAAATTAAACTTCAATGTCAATTTGTCAATGTCAATTCAAAGCAGTGTTACTATTTTAAAAATTCGCTCAACCTGCCCGATACAAAACGAATCCCAACCTCGTGTTGGGTCGTACAATTTCAATTTTGAAAAAATCTTATTTAAAAAAAAAATATTTTTTCGGATATTGTTCAAAATTTTTTTCCACATTTGACGTTGACACATGTCAAAAGTTGAAGTTACTGAACGGTAATGATGGAGCCAACAAGATGGTGGTGATAGTCACAAACTAATAAGAGATACTACGGCGGTGGCGTGGTTGTTGGAGATTTTTCGTTGTTTTGTAATCATTTCAAGTTTCGTTTTTCTAATAAGTGGCTTTTTGCTATACAAGTTTATTTTATGATTCACGCTAAATAAAACTTCAACGTATAACATAATACATAACATTATGAGTGTTACACTAGGGTGCAGCAGATACATTATAAAAAATAAACCGTAGATGGGTTTTTCTTCGTCTACGGAATAAACAATGTATTTATTCACAGATATGGAACATCAGTTGGTTGATTCAAGGATGGAAAAAAAATAATGGTTGGTTTACACGAATGACATCTCAAGAATAAATTAAATCTTAGAGGATGGAAAAAAATAAAATAAAGAGTTAAATCCTTGATAAATGATATGATGCAATGAAAACCTTTGTGTATACTATGAGATTATAGTCTTGAACAATGTGTTTACATTATTCAAGACTACAATCTTGCTTAACTACAACATTGCTTCAACAATGTGCCTTCCAAACTATGATTTTCCAAATCTAATTTTTTGGGACTTTTTCCGGAAAAATTTCCATTATTTGAAGTTTTTCGGAAACTTACCTAACAGTATTAACATCACGAACACGCGTTTACGGCGCCGTAGAGGCTTAAATAGCAGATTGTTGAGTTTGTATCGATTCAAACGCGTACTAAAGAAAAATGAAATTTAAAATGATTTCACAACAGCAGAAAAAGTCTTCAACAACTATGTACACCACAAACTTGTTGTTGGCTCCATCGTTTTCGTTCAGTAACTTCAACTTTTGACAGGTGTCAACTACAATTATGGAGAGATAGAGGAGAAAATATACGGAAAAATATAGATTTTTCTGAAAATCATTGAAAAAACGTGGATTTTTTCGCTAATGACATAAGCGAAGCGATCACTAGTAACGTCGTTTCCATACTTTTTCAAGTTTGTTTTTACAAAAGTAAAACGTCAACATCTAAAATCAAAAGAGGCTGAAACGCATACCGCGGAGAGCCTAGGCCAAGAAAAAATTACAATCAGTTTCCCGCCGTTAAAATGTCAAACAAGTGAAACAAGTCCGTTCTTGTTGTTTTTGTGGAGGAATCGCAGCGCAATAAAATAATTTGTGTGCACAAAATACAAATCATTATAGATATAATAGAAAGAAGTGGGCTGGGAATAAAATTTACTGTTATTATAATAACCTTAAAAAATATGTGGAACGGTAATATTGCTTTCTAAAACACGAAATCTGTTTTGATGTGTACTTTGTCACATTAAAATTTGTTTTCAGATCAGTCAGTTGTTGGCGGTGGATTTTTCAATTCACCAAACCAATTTGGAAATGCGACTACACCAAACCAGCCACAGAAGACGGTAAGCACTACTTTACAAGTGACGAATAAGTATACATTTCATTGTATTTTTGGTCATTGATAAAATAGCTCAATGCAGTTTTGACTCCTTGTGTTACCCGATCTGCAGACTCGAAGAGCGTCGCGTACTGCTCCTATCGTGATTAGACAAGCCCTTCACAGCAATGATGATGGTTTTAAAATATGGGGAACTGAAATCCAGATTGTTAGTTTAATCGCTCGTGTGAGAAATATAAGGATGCAGAGCACCAAAATTACGTATACAATACAAGATATAACTGGCAGAATGAGGGCTGTACTTTGGTTGGATCAGGAAGCTATGGATGAAGATGTAGGTATTTTTTTTTTGTTACAATTTAGTCTATTCAAAATAACCTTGATTATCCTCCTAAGACCCAGCAAACTACAATAGTAAAAACGCAAAATGCCCAATGTCTTTAAAATGTACTAAATATAAATATGCTTCAAGCATATTAAGAAAGTGTGCTTTCAGTTTTGTCTGAAAATGCAACAGGGATTTTTAAATATGTTCGAATATAAATGTACTTGTTTAGAATATACAGTGATGAATTTGTGAAATCACACTGGTTGTTTACCAATGTGATCATTGAAATAATATTGTCTGGGGTCTGAATCACTTTACCTTTTATGCACAGTCAACAGCACATCAAGCTATATACTTTAGTTCAAATGTCTCCTCAAGTGCAGCGGAACAAGATTTGTCAATGTGTAGCTTGATGCGCTGTCTGAACATTTAGATATACTCGAGGACTTAGCAGGATGAAGTACAAAATTCTCTTATCTTGGTTTGCACACAGTTTGAAACTTTTGACGACATTGACACAAGATTGCTGGTATTCCAGTTAATATCACCTAAAATGACAACAGGAGCAATATCCAATTGAAAGTTAATAATATTTAATAAAGATAGATATTGCATATTGCTTGGAAGGAAACATTTACGTCATTGTATATTTAATTAAATATTCCAATAAAATAAATAAAAAAACTTGAGACAGTTTTTACCAGAGATTGGAATAGTCAGAGTTTATTTACTTGGACGAGTAATAAACATAAAGTGGATACCTCCCTCCTGAATTTATTAAAAGTAGAAGGCGAAAATCATAGGAAAATAATTACAAAACAAGTATTCTAAATCCTAATTGCTAAATATAACTAAATACACTAATCCTAGGATTTCAGAGGACCTTGCATATTACTTCCTTGAAGTTTAGGTAAATATTTTGTGTCTATTCTGATCTTTGATTATTACAAAAGGTGTGCCCAAATGGTCTTCTCATGAATATGAACAATTTTTACCATGAAACCTCAAGCTAAATGTTTACCTACTACAGTACTACATGTATAGACGGCAGCACATTAAGCTACACATTGATGGATCTTGTTCCGTTGTGAGGGGCCATATTCGAACAAAAGTGTAAAGCTCGATGTGCTGTTGACTATACCTAAACACCACCAACATAAAAGTTGCATTAACTACTTATCAATACAAATTAGTGGGAAGAATCAAATCACTCTTCAAAAATCTTATAAGTCTCAACGAGTCTATATGTTTATAATTTTAAATAGTATGTAAAGACACCATTTTATATTCCAGGACAAATCATCACCTAAAGTACATGTAAATGATTACATACAAATCTTTGGTAATCTTAAGACCAACAAAGGGAAAAAGGTTTTAATGGTGTTCAAAATAATGCCAGTAAATGATGCAAATGCAATCACATTCCATTACTTGCAGTGTATTAATAATAGGTTTAAGATGGAGGCAGATTCTAAGAAGGTAATTATTTTTTACCAGTTAGCAAAAATGCAACTATTTGATTAACACTCATTTCAGGCTTCTTACCATGGTATGACTTCTTTTTAAAATGTACAATGCAACTATTATCAGTTATTAATCTAATATCGTCGGTATTTTGTAAAAAGGGCGAGGGCGCTATCTCGAAAAATTTTTCAGGGGAGCATGTTTTAGGTTTTAATGACTGTTTCAAAATATTTACGTCCTGTTTTAATATTCAATTTTGGTTTTAATTAAGTTTAAGTTTTATAATTGAATTTAAAACAGGACGTAAATATTTTAAAACTGTTGTGAAAAACTAATACATGCTTTTTTGCATTTTTCTACAAAACACTGACGATATAATCTAGAAAACTTACATATGTATCGGTTTTCTTTGTAATTTATAATACAATTACAATTATTGTAATAATAACGCACACACACTCAACATAGCCCCGCACTAGGGAAACCCTGTGTCGTGGGTGCCATGGACACACACATAGACAACCACAAATTACACCCAAACTCACAAGAGAAATAAATGTAGGCCATACAAATATTTTTCCGGGCCCGGGAATCGAACCTGGGACCTCTGCGTGGCAGTCCGGTATGGTAACTGTTCGGCCACGGAGGCTGTTAAATAGACATGCTTAGACTATTTTATTATATTACTTACTTTTGTGTTAGATTGATTGTACTATTAGCTAAACCGATATTCTTATTCTGTATAACTCACCATGTACAATTATTTGTCATTCCTCAATAAATAAAATAAAATAGAACATAAGTTCTTTTATAGGATTGGATCTTACGAAACTAATTATAAAAAATATTTCCTGTCTCCTAAGCACACATAAAAAAAGGTTAATTAAACAATATTCTTAATTAATACTAACGACTTATGGTGACTTAAATTGGGGTAGTAACATATATAAGTTTATACGCCCTGTACCCCACCTATTGTGGAGTCGGGCTCGGCCTGCAGCGCGAGGTCGGGTTCAGATTACGGGGTGTACTTATGCTCCTCGGTGGCACAGCAGTTAGTACTATGGGTGCTTGATGAGAAGATTCCAAATTCCATTCCCGATTTGGGCCAATTTAGGAAACTAACGTTTCTAAGTTGGTTCTGGGGGGCTACTCTCGATCTCCGTCCGAAACAATTACTGGCAAATAAGTAATATTCAACAAAATTAAAAGACAAGTATCCAGTATGAAGCTTCATTCGCATCACGCGTCTTCATTTGGTCAAGTATTGCTTATTTGGCAGTAATTGTTTCGGCCGGAGATCGAGAGTAGATCCCCTGGTCTGGATGTTCTAGGTATTGCCCTCAGAATTATCGTTGTTCCGGTATTCATAGTACCCGTACTATGAATAACGATCAGAGCAATTTTTTTTTCTACCGCCAAAGAACGTATGTATGATGGCCCTATTTGAAAATGGCGAAAAACCAATTTCGAGTTCAAATTGTTATCACTTCTAGAGGCCTCCCCTGCCAATTTTCAGCCGAAACAAAGCAAGTTTCTTTCGGCAGCTATTTTTAACGAAAATAAACGCTTACATGGCAGCCATACTAAAAAATGGCGTAAAAAAAGCTTAAAAAAATTAAAGACTCCTAAGGAGGCTTTTCAGCGAGCTTCAGGCAATTTTCAGCCGGATCGAAGCTAGTTTTTCTCCGGCCGCCATTTTGAATTCTTTTTACACAATCTTGCATTTTTTTTACACAAACAGTTAACCACTGTTACCCTCTATGACATTCCTTCCAACACCTCCTACCTATCTCTAATAGTTTCCTTTATAGAAGACCTTGAAATTTGTATGGCTGCCATCTTGTTTATTTGAATTTCGTACATTTTTTATATCCGGCGGAAATTGCCCAAGATGTATGTACCTCATAAAGGTGCACTAATATCCCCTCCATATATTATAGTTTTCACAGGCCGTTGATCACTCTTTCAAATTTTCCACATTCAAGTATCTCATATTTGATTCTTTGCTCAGGAAACCTACCCGCGACAACGGTACAATTATATTTTATCTACCGTATCGGGAAGTATGCGTTCTGTTTCTAACAATGAGTCTAAACTTGTGACTTTATTTATATAATAATATAAGTTTTGAAAACAGAGCTGGAAAAACATAGAGGAAGATGTAAAATGTCTTGCAAACAGCCAGCAAAGACATGTTTGCCTGTATAGTATATAAATTTTATAATATTGTTCATGATTTGTGTCTATTACTTATGGATTTGCTGCGCGTTGACATAGTATAACACTAATCTTGTGTAATGCATTACAGGAAAAAGTTACCAACAACAACACTACAACTGGTAACAGTTTGCCAGCTAATTCTATGATTGGTATGAACAACACAGCATCGGTCAATGGGTTGAATCCTCGTCAAATGATGGTGTTCAATTTGATTAGAGCATCAACTGTGGAGCAGGGTATTAGCAAGCAAGATATGCATGCTACTTTAAAAGAACACATGGCGCTAGCTGAGTTTGAGTAAGTTAGAGTACTTTTATGCTCATTGGACAAATGATCTTGCAAATTATTTAATAACCACTTAATTTATGTTGTGTCTATCACTTTGGTTTATACTTAGTACATTGATAAATATATCATCATTACATCATCACATTTTTAAATTGTTACAGAAATATTCTAGAGTGGCTGTGTGGAGAAGGTCATATCTATTCTACCATTGATGAAGAACATTTCAGGGCTACAGATGCATTGTAAAATGAAGCAGGATTCTTCAAAATTATTGTTTTATTTTGTATTAATCAATAACCATATCTATCTTTACTTTTTAAAATAAAACAAAGCAAAGTAGAAAAACATGTTTAATTTTTAGAAATAAATTATGCTTAATTTCTATAGTTATACAAAAAGGTAACGAAAAAAAAATATTGACATACTATTGCAGTGTTTGTTGAGAAAACTGTTCAGACTTATTTATTGGAATGACTCCTAATGTTAATGTTTTTCAGGTCTAAAGTTCATCACGAACAGCAGTATTTCTAACATCTGATTTCTTCCCTGGATATGTTTGGCTTTCCAACTGGACATCCTTCAATTCATCCTGTTCTAAAAGAAATTCTTTAGCAGTCCATGCTTGCGAACCATCTTTGAACATGAAAATAGCTCTATCATCATCAATGAGGTACCTGAAATAATAACCAAATTATAAGCATTTCAACGATTACGATGACAAATTACTTTCATAGATTTCTTATAGATGGCGCTACAGCTAAAAAGACGTTGAAAAACCAAATACATAGGTACAACAACAAGCGTATAGAAACAGTCGTGAGGTTCGCTGGTTTGTTCTGTGGCACGGTATGCTAGAAGACGTCAGTTCGAATCCGGCCGGATTGAAGGAATTTTTTCTGAGTGTTCAATCTTTGTATTAATAATTATAACTAGTGGAGTAATTTCACATGAAAATAATTGAATATCAATTCAATATAAGCATTTCACTGATATGATAACGCATGCACTGCAATTAGGCATGCTTTAACGCAATACAAAAATTTTGTGTAAGTAAAATTCTTATCAAACATTGTGGGTTATTTTCATATTTATCTGGTGATAACAGTATACATATCAACTTGTTTTCTATGTCCTCCCAAAAATGTACTGATGGGTGGTGGTCTATTACTAATTCTGTAAGATTTATTTTAGTTTAACACACTGCTGGTGTTTGGATTAATCTTTTACATAATTAAAAACTATATGTATAGGGACTCTTGTTGGTTGTTCAGTGCTTGCGGATTCATTTATCAAATTTGCAAATGGTACCTTTCAGCCTGAATGTGATTGCTCCAAAGACTAGCTTGCCAAATTTTGGTCAGCTCCTCTGTTCTAGCACGTGAAGGTTTATTCGCTACGGTAACAAACATCATGACGGTTTGTCCTTTCTTGGTCGCCTGCATAACTTCCTCAGGGTTGGACATATCAAGTTTAGTAAGGTCCAAAGAAGGAGGTTTCCGCAGATATTCTGGCAATTCGTCATCTGGAAGCGGTTCTTCATCTTCTTCCCATTGATCATAAAGCCTAAAAACACAAAACTTTTTAAAAATTTTAAAATTATTAAAAAAATTTGTATAAAAGATAAGATATTTTTTTTGATTATTGAACTGATATTCAATAATTTTTAATGTGAAATTACTCCACTAGAATATCAATTCTATAAAAATTTAAAATACAGTAAAAAGCGACATCTGATCAAATGGGTGATGGAATACATTAATATATTTCCCATAAATGGCGCTACGGCTAAAAAAGGCGTTGAAAAATCAAATACCAAGACACGACAACAAGCACAGAATTTGTCAGGTCCGCTGGCTCGTTCCGTGGCTTAAGTTGTTATAGCGTCTGCTACGATATGTTAGAAGACATCGGTTCCATCTGGCCGGATCGAAGAGTTTTTTTCTGAGTGTGTGTTCGATTTTTGTATTAATAAATTAATAATTATAAAATTTTTATGTGGAAACAATTTGTTACATTTATTTTTAGGTTAGACATCTCACCGTTCTAAATCTGCTTCAGTATAGTCTCGTATATCCTTTTTGGCCCACGCCGGTTTTTCTTCATCCTTGTATTTTTTGGCAAAAGTACTAAAAATCAATAAAACCACTATAAAATAATGAAATTTTTCCATTTCCGTAAATAAAACCTCACGTCGGATTTTTTTTGTAAGCCTTTGTTTTGTATGTACAGTGTTGCCAGACTTTTGCGAAGTTAATTCGCCAATTTATGTGTGTTAAGTAGCCGATATTCGCCCAAGCCATGAAATCCCTAAAAATCAAGGAAAACTTAAAAGTTCTCTTTGGTAATTTATTTTTGATCTTTTGTTGGTAGGGACCATGGACCTATAGGTCCATGGTAGGGACACAGTATCGAATCAAACGTATCGATATTGCACTTATGAGTAGAATCGGATAAAAAGTATCGTTACTTATAACTGCAATTTTTTTTGTTTATCGTGCGGCAGGATGGCCGTAAGATTTTTCATATTTGAAGTATTACCTAAACACTAAAGTTTTGAATCAGATTTTGCATTTCACATCATTGTTATTTATTTTCTCAAAGTACGTACATACTTCCAAATGTCACTTTTGGTAGGCGGCGACATTTTACAGGTAAATGATTATGATAAAATTGCTCGCAACGCATACACTCAATTACCTACTATTACAACAAAAATGCTCCATTTATGAATTAATGCATTTATCGACATAGTAATTTTTTACTCTACGATGGACTACATCGTGATTTTTTAGTTTGTGATCGTGATCGTGTCGCCCGCCCGTCTACACAGAAACGAACGAAACGAAAACGGAAAATGTCAATTGTCAATTCAAACTTTTTTATTTTTGTTAATTATAGGGTGGCATACACATTGTAGTACAGCCAAGTCATTTGTGATAAAGGTTAAAATCTAAAATCGTATACAGTAAGGCTAAAATCGTATACAGAGCGCGACACTCCGCTTTAGTCTTCATTTGTTCTACTGACAGCGCGATACTGCGATGACATTACAATTTAAATTTCGAATAGGTTAGACCCGTCGTCCATTTATTTGTAAGTCAATGCGTATACGAAATGATACGACACTTGTCATAAAGTACTGATACCAGAAAAGTAAGGAATGCAAACTGACTTTTCGTTTTAGCTCATAAACAATCTAAAAGTGCCCATTCATCATCCTGCCTTGCAGTCCGTCTAGCCGTTAGCTGGCGTAATGCAGGATTATTAATGTAGTAGCAGCGTTCAATTTTATTGCATACCTGCACGTTGCGATTACATTCATAATCCTGCATTACGCCGGCAGACGGCTAGGCGGACTGTAAGCCAGATAACGAATAGGCCCTTAAAGGGATGGAATCGATGAATAGCCCGTTAAATACGAAATATAGAGGTGCTTCTGTGCTGGGTTGCGAATTAACTTCAATAGACTAAATGGCCTTTTATTTCATTCTAGGCGTATGTCACACGGATACGAATTTTCTGTATAATTTTCATGTATGTGTGTAAAGAGTTAATTTAGAGGTCTTAGGGTCGTATTCTAGAACTCTACTCAATGCTCAAGTCAGGATTTGAGTATGGTTTAAAGCACTCGAAATCTTACTAAAGTCCTTGCCATTAGGGTTGTATTTCCAGTGTAATCCTGACTTGAGCATTGAGTAGAGAACAAATGATTTCAAGCACTAATGGCAAGGACTTGAGTATGATTTCTAGTGCTTTAAATCATACTCAAGTATTGAATAGAGTTCTGTAATACGACCCGCAGTCCCATCCATCCTGCAATCCTGCAATGCGTCTTGCGAGACTCCAGACTGCCTGCGTTGGACTGCCATGCAGGTAATGAATGGGCCGTTTTATTTATTATCCTAGTGTGGCATAAAAATAAGTAAATTATAAAAGTGGTGTAGTTTGTCTATGATGATCATGTGTCAAAGAAATGTCAACGTCATTACAATTTTCAAAAAGTTATTCTATTCACGTCACGATCACCGTATGAATTTAACGCGTGTGTTACGTCGAATCATGCGGAGTTCCTAATGATATTTCGGTTACTTTCTTATCAGTATATGGCATTATTACTATTTACAAGCTTTTAATTATATTTATAAGATAGACTTGTAGTTAGGCTAATCATTTTTAATTTTATTTCTCAATTGACATTTGGCAGTTCCATCTCTTAGACTTTATAATATTGCCTTCAATTTTTGAAATTGAAATTCTAAGGACTGGATCTGGTAGTGTACTGGGCTGTTTACTTAAGGGCGGGAAGTGCTGTGCTATAAACGATGGACCCAAGCAGTATAACGCCAAACACATCAAATCAGCAGTTGGTGATAAACAATGACAATGATTCGGCGACGGCGTTACTGCAAGAGAAGCGGGCTAGGAGAGAAACTTTAAGGGACGTCTCACGTTCAGAATACATGACTATCGCAGTACTTTGCTTCGTTAACCTTATAAATTATATGGACAGATTCACCTTGGCTGGTAAGTACTGTACTTTAAACTCACTCAATAGAGGTAACTAGAGATGGGGATAGACGTTTAAACGTTGCTTTTTTAAAAAAGTGTGCTTTTTTAGACTCTTTTCACCTAAACGCTTTTTAGTTTCAAGCTTAAAAAATCCTAGAAAAACAATTACGGCGCATAAACTTTTGTGTTAAAAAAAGCTTGCAACATTGTATTGATAGCGAAAGGCAAGAGTAGACCAATAAAGCTTTTAGGTAAGTTTATTTGTAAAACACGAGTGATGGTGATGATTATAAAACTGTTATTCACATTAACGAAATAATTAGTTTAGGAAACATAAGGTGGGACTTGAAACTTAGGCACGTTGTAAAAAATGAAATTGTTGAGTACAGACAGAACTTATCAACACTTATGCTTAAAATAAAAAGCGTGCTTAAGTTCTTATTTTAAAAAGCAAACTTTTTTAAGTGGTTTTTGTTTAAACACCCACCACTAAAGGTAAACTGCCTATAATGTAACAGTATAAACTTATTAGTTGTATGCGTAGGTATTAAGAATAACTGGCCAATTGCGATGAGCTGCAAAATGCCTAAATGATAAGTCAGCATTTATTTCCTGGATAAATTTGTTACTACCTTTCTTGGCTGCAACTACAACAATATATACCCATTTGTACGTCCTACTGCTGAGCACAGGTCTCCTTTTAGGTGAGGGTTTACGCCATACTCCACCTTGCTGGCCTAATGTGGGGACACTTTTTCTGAGGCTTGTTAACTACATGCCTGTTTCATCACAGTTTTGCTTCACCCAGAAAGCATTTAAACCTACAGCCACTGCTTAAGAGGTGGTCAAACCATTAGACTACCATGGCTTTTATTAATGATAATAAAAGCAACTGCCTCTATGGCTAATGGTTACCATACTGGTCTACCATGCAGAGGTCTCTATTTTGATATTTGTAAGGTCTACATTTATTTCTCTCGTGAGTTTGGATGTAATTTGTGGTTGTCTATGTGTGTGTCCATGGCACATGCGATATAGGGGTTGTGAAAGAGTGTGTGCATTATTGTTATTATAAATTAAATACTGCATTTTTTTATAACATCAAGTGATGGGACGAACAAGTCGTGCACCTACTACACACGTGCACAGCTACACGTCTGTCCATAACAGTTACAGTGCCACTCACAACTTTAAATTGCAAAGATCTGAGGGGCACTACCACTGCGCCTGTCACCCTGAGTCATAATTTGACAAGTCCCATGTGCCTGTAATTTCACCAGCACCCTTCAAAACTGGAACACCATAATGCTAACATTACTGCTTGGCGGCAGAAATAGGTAAGGTGGCAGCACTATCCTGGACAATCTCTTTCACAAGGAACTCTACTGCTACTAATTTTCTCCTATGTTATCTGTCATAAGCCACATAAATAGGTACATATTTTTCATAAATCATTTTTATGTAGTCTATTATTATCCTCAGCAGCATAAGTACAAAGCATTTTAGAATTTTATTATTTAATAATATATAATATAATAAATTTTAGTAAATATTATTTTTATTATTAAAAAAGCGTGATAAACGTGATGAATGTGATAAATACTCATTGGAGTATGTATCTTATTTAATTGAAGAACTTCGTGAATTGCAGTTGTTATGCTCAATCTAATCCTTTCAAAACATTAAAACCTTCCCATGTAAAATTTTAAATTTTGGCTACAATTCTTTACATAGAAGGGGATGATTTTTTAAATATGACATGAACAATTCAAATACATCAGAAAATTGGATTTAAGTATGATTTTGTTTCATAATAATTAAATAATTCATAAAAAGGTTTAGGCACTTATAAGAATCATATTACATTAATTAAAGACCAACCAACTGGTTACTTTTTGGACTCCCTGGGTTTATTCTAAGACTTAAACCATTTATTAATCAAACAGAAAAGCATTTAACCATATTTCTTAGAAACTATATTATGTTTCACAGAAACAATGCACCACGAGTGTCTACAATTGTTCAGTTAAGTCATAACCGTTCGTTAAGACTTAAATGTTTAGCAGACAATTATCAGCAATAAGATTTATTAGAAACATTGCAAATAATTTTTTTTGTAGCTATTTTATAAATATTATTTTACAAGTGTAATTGATTTTCATATTATCTAGAGTCATTGTCATAAAGTTCAAACAAAATCAAGATTTAAACAAAATTTAGATCTAGAATCATTGTCGTAAAAGTTTTAGTAGCAGTAGAGCTCCTTGTGAAAGAGTGTCCAGTGGCCTACTGGACACTCTTTCACAAGGAGTATAGTCATACTGTATACTGGACACTCTTTCACTAGTATGATGGGGCGCGATTTGCGCGAATGCGTCATCCAGAGCGGGATCTCTATGCGAGATAATAGTTTTCGCGCTTTATGTCGCTCTCGCTCAAGTCGCGCTCTGTCGTGCTAATCCTACAGGGTAGTACTGCCACCTTACCTATTTCTGCCGCCAAGCAGTTACGTGAGCTTTACTGCGTTTCGGTTTGGAAGGGGAAGGGTGCTGATGAAATTACAGGCACATCCTAAGATGCTGGCGATTTACAGCTCTGAGTGGCGCTGCAACTGTTATGGATAGGCGTGTCGCTTACCAGCAGGCGCACGACTTGTTCGTCCGTCACTTTTTTTATTTAATAATATTGAGGGACGGGACGAACAAGTCGTACGCTTGACGGTAAGCTACAGGCCTGTCCATAACACTTGGTGTTATAGAAAAAATATCAGTATTATTTTAATATATGGCATACCTTTTTTTTGACGGGGGGAATTCTTTATAAATACCCTTAGCCCAGGGAGACTTAGGAGTTATGTGGGGGACTCTCCCTCCAGACTGAAGGGCCTACCCCACTAAAACCCCCCGGGTTTCCCTTTCGCCGGTTGAGTCGGCGCCGTGGGATCGATGAACATTCACCACGACGCCGCCCGGCTGCCCCAGCTTGCGCCAGGGCTCCCGCGCCAACGGAGGGGTGAGTCGGTTATCCTCCGACGAGTGAGGCCGTGCAATGTAGGCTCCAGAGTCCCTGTCCAGAGCCCGCTGGTCTCACTAGGGGATCAGGCGAGCAGCGAACTGCGTTCGCCTACTCCCCGTACGTCTGCGCCGAAGCGGGTGCGCGTCCGCCGCGTCCTCGCGCACCCGCTCTGCGGCTACCTTTTGCGACATAACTTCTTCGCAAAAGGAGGCCACCGCCTCCCAGGACTCCTCGCTATCGAGCATGGCGGCAACCACTACTGGCTGCGAGAGGTCCTGCCCTACAGTCCCCGTCAGAGTGCGGCGCTGCTCATCCCACCCGGCTGCACACCTCTTGGGTGTGCTGCGAGGTGTCATGCGCAGCGCCGCACTCGTGGCACGACTGGGACTATTCCCTCCTTGCCACCTTGTGCAGTTAGTGACCGAAGCAGCCGTGCCCGGTCAGCTCCTGCACTAGGTGGTACGACAGTGGCCCGTGGGAGCGGCTCACCCAAGGACAGGGCGGATCGCCCCTATGGTACGAGCACCACAGGGGGGATCCGTCAACCCTTCTTTCCAGCGGTCCCGCATGCGCTGCGCCGCGAGGCGGCGCCCCCGCTCGAAATCCATGGCATACCTAGCTTGTAGCAGAATTGGCCTCTTGCTAATTTGTTATTGATCCATCCAACTCTTTTACTATGAATAAGTCTGAGGCTTCTCTCATTGGTCTAGCTCACAGAGCATGTGTGTGAAGCAAATTTGGGTAGTGAACAAATGCAAACAAAATTGACTGAAATTGAGAAATAAGTACATATTTAAATTAAATCTAATCTTAGGACGAGTTCCCATTATGTCGTAACGTTTTATTTATCGTTGGACGAATGTCGCGTCTAACCTGTTCCCATATCACGACTGTCTGTCGTGACTGGGTCGTGGACGTTTATTTTATCGTTGGACGACTGTCGCATCTGGCCTGTTCCCATAGCACGACTACCTGTCGTGGACGTTTATTTTATCGTTGGACGACTGTTGCATCTGGCCTGTTCCCATAGCACGACTACCTGTCGTGGACGTTTATTTTATCGTTGAATTACTGTCATGTCTAGCTGTTTCCACTAGATCGTGACGACAATTTATCGGTACACGGCAGCCGCATTGGCGTTTGTGCGACAGAATCATTTGAAGCTGCGATTATCTGTCGCAGCTCACGTTTTTATCGTGATATTTTGTTTATTGCCGAACGACTGTCGTTCTAGCTCTTCCCATTGGCACGCCAGTCTGTCGTCGTAACGTCAAAAACGTCGTGGACGACAGTTAATCGTGTTGTTCTGTGTGTGTCTAACTTCATTTAAATATACAAGCCACGACACTTACTGCACGACTATCTGTCGTCACGACATAATTGGAACGCGCCCTTATTTTTCTGTTTTACTGATTGAAATAAATAAATACAATGCCAAGAAAACCATGCTTGACCGTCAAATAAATGCTATTGGTCACTTGAAAATAATAGCAGTTACATTGTATATGAGTTTAGAATAGTTCCGGTTATTTTAATGATGTGTTAATAACTTTGTCACCTTTGTCCCATTCCAGACTAGTGACAACCTCTTTATTAGTAGACAAAAGTTAAACACAAGGATGTTGGTTGACTCATAATAAAATTGATGATTTTATAAATAAACGTACATTCACATTACATATCTTAACAAATTTAAAGTCTAATACGTGACTGCGAAAAAATCGTGTAATTTTTTTGTTATTTGCTGTACTTAGTGAACTTAAACGTTGTTAAGATATGGGCTTAACCGTCATTGGGTAGCGTGAATCGTACGACCTACAGTATTTTGAGTACAAGCATTTATCTATTGATTTTGACACGCAAACCTTCTTTATCACGTTATAACTGGGGTAGATTAGACATATCAACTTGGTACGATACTGGCATATTTTTTTCGCTTCTCCTTTGGCATCGGTCTATTATGTTGCGGGCACTGCTTTCATTTCGTTTGATCATACACT